TCCCCATCCTCACTGCTGCCTGGAGCTCCTTCTGGGTGTAGGGAGACTTCCCACCGCCCACAGAAGAAAGCCCAAGTCACACGTGCGTCTCCTGGGCCCGGCCGCCTTTGCCCGGATGCCTTGGCCTGGACGTTCCTGGCAATCCTCCTTGCAAAGGCCCCCTCTAGGCCGGGGCCCTTCAGGGTCCCTCCTGCTGCACACACAGGGCCCCTCTGCCCTGGTGCCCCTGGTCCACCTCCCCTGGCCAGTGTCTTGTCCGCAAGGCCTGGGCACCGCCACCCAAAGGGGCTGCCCCGCTGCTTCCCTCTTAGCCCTGAGCTTGCCCTTTGGAACGTGTCAGGCTTTGTTCGAGTTTCTCCCAGTGCGGAGCAACCTCAGCTCCGAGGGTCACACCTCCCTGCCCATTCCCAGACTGTCCAGCGCCCGCCTCACCCGCCTTGCTGTGCCTTTGCCAAGGGGAAGAGTGGCTGGTTTTGTTCTTCCAGTCTGGGACGCTGCTATCAAGGGCTCAGGGGCATCGGAGCCAGGGTTTAAACAAAGTCTCAGCCAAGCAAGAGTGGGTCGGACACCGCGGGAGGAGGTCCTGCGGCAGCAAGGGCGACTCAGAAGGTTCAGAGGCTCCAGGGCAACTCGCAATCATTGTGAAATGCACGTCAAACAAGTTAAATAACCTTTACTTTTTATAACAACCTATTTATCAAAATGCATTGATTCTGGAATTGGAGTTGGCTGCCAATGGGCTGTGTATCTCCTCGGCCTGATGTGTGCATTAAAGGAGTTTTGTTCTGACAGATACAATGTAGCAATCAATAAACTCCTATTACCTGGATTTATGAGCTGCTTTGAATTCGGTGCTATTTCATGTCTCTGCCTTCCACTGTAATTGAAAATAAATCTCCCAATACTCAGATTTGAATTCTCTGGAAGTGTGGGTGGAGAGAGGTGCTGCAGTCCCCAGTCCCCCAGCGAGACCTTGTCTGTGGGCCTTGGAGGAAGCACTCCCGGCCGGGGGGGTGGCCTGACCAGCACGCAAGATAAGAACAACGCCTGTTCTGCTGTGCAGATCCGGTTCCTGAGCCTGGATCTGGAGTGACACCAGCCCCCAAAGCCCGATCCCAGGAAACAGGGTGAAGAGAGGCCCAGAACTAGTCTGTCGGACTTTTGCTCCCAAATGGCACTGATGCCAGCAACAGAATGTGAAGCTTGGCCCCTGGTCATTGAGGAAAGCGCCGAGGGAAGCCCAAGCCCCTGCCCTGAGACCTCTGCCCCCGAGTCCCTGGCCTCCAAGCCTGGAACAGGTGCCCCCGTGTGTACAGAGAGAGGCAGCTGGAACAGGTGCCCCCGTGTGTGTAGAGAGAGGCAGCTGGAACAGGTGCTCGTGTGTGTAGAGAGAGAGGCAGCTGGAACAGGTGCTCGTGTGTGTAGAGAGAGGCAGCTGGAACAGGTGCCCCGTGTGTGTAGAGAGAGGCAGCTGGAACAGGTGCCGTGTGTGTAGAGGAGAGGCAGCTGGAACAGGTGCTCGTGTGTGTAGAGAGAGAGGCAGCTGGAACAGGTGCTCCCGTGTGTGTAGAGAGAGGCAGCTGGAACAGGTGCTCGTGTGGTAGAGAGAGGGCAGCTGGGGGGGGAGGAGAGGCAGCTGGAACAGGTGCGTGTGTGTAGAGAGAGAGGCAGCTGGAACAGGTGCTCGTGTGTGTAGAGAGAGAGGCAGCTGGAACAGGTGCTCGTGTGTGTAGAGAGAGGCAGCTGGAACAGGTGCCCCGTGTGTGTAGAGAGAGAGGCAGCTGGAACAGGTGCTCGTGTGTGTAGGAACATGGTAAGAGAGAGGCAGCTGGAACAGGTGCTCGTGTGTGTAGAGAGAGAGGCAGCTGGAACAGGTGCTCGTGTGTGTAGAGAGAGAGGCAGCTGGAACAGGTGCTCGTGTGTACAGAGAGAGGCAGCTGGAACAGGTGCTCGTGTGTGTAGAGAGAGAGGCAGCTGGAACAGGTGCTCGGTGTGTCAGAGAGAGGCAGCTGGAACAGGTGCCGTGGTGAGAGAGGCAGCTGGAACAGTGCTCGTGTGTGAGAGAGAGGCAGCTGGAACAGGTGCCCCGTGTGTGTAGAGAGAGGCAGCTGGAACAGGTGCCGTGTGTAGAGAGAGGCAGCTGAACGGTGTGTGTGTAGAGAGAGGCAGCTGGAACAGGTGCCCCGTGTGTGTAGAGAGAGGCAGCTGGAACAGGTGCTCGTGTGTGTAGAGAGAGAGGCAGCTGGAACAGGTGCCCCGTGTGTGTAGAGAGAGGCAGCTGGAACAGGTGCCCCCGTGTGTGTAGAGAGAGGCAGCTGGAACAGGTGCCCCCGTGTGTGTAGAGAGAGGCAGCTGGAACAGGTGCCGTGTGTGTAGAGAGAGGCAGCTGGAACAGGTGCCCGTGTGTGTAGAGAGAGGCAGCTGGAACAGGTGCCCGTGTGTGTAAGAGAGAGGCAGCTGGAACAGGTGCCCGTGTGTGAGAGAGAGGAGGCAGGCGTGGGAGAAGGCAGCGGTGCCCCCGTGTGTGTAGAGAGGCAGCTGAACAGGTGCCTGAGGCAGCTGGAACAGGTGCTCGTGTGTGTAGAGAGAGAGGCAGCTGGAACAGGTGCCCCCGTGTGTGTACAGAGAGAGGCAGCTGGAACAGGTGCTCGTGTGTGTAGAGAGAGAGGCAGCTGGAACAGGGGCCCCCGTGTGTGTAGAGAGAGGCAGCTGGAACAGGTGCTCGTGTGTGTAGAGAGAGGCAGCTGGAACAGGTGCTCGTGTGTGTAGAGAGAGAGGCAGCTGGAACAGGTGCTCGTGTGTGTAGAGAGAGGCAGCTGGAACAGGTGCTCGTGTGTGTAGAGAGAGAGGCAGCTGGAACAGGTGCCCCGTGTGTAGAGAGAGAGGCAGCTGGAACAGGTCTGTGTGTAAGAAGAGCAGTGGCGGCTGTGTAAAGGCTCAGGTGTGTGTAGAGAGAGGGCAGCTGGAACAGGTGCTCGTGTGTGTAGAGAGAGGCAGCTGGAACAGGTGCTCGTGTGTGTAGAGAGAGAGGCAGCTGGAACAGGTGCCGTGTGTGTAGAGAGAGGCAGCTGGAACAGGTGCTGTGTGGAGAGAGAGGCAGCTGGAACAGGTGCCGTGTGTGTAGAGAGAGAGGCAGCTGGAACAGGTGCTCGTGTGTGCAGAGAGAGAGGCAGCTGGAACAGGTGCCGTGTGTGTAGAGAGAGGCAGCTGGAACAGGTGCTCGTGTGTGTAAGAGAGAGGCAGCTGGAACAGGTGCTCGTGTGTGTAGAGAGGAGGCCTGGAGAGAGAGAGGCAGCTGGAACAGGTGCTCGTGTGTGTAGAGAGAGGCAGCTGGAACAGGTGCCCCGTGTGTGTAGAGAGAGGCAGCTGGAACAGGTGCTCGTGTGTGTAGAGAGAGAGGCAGCTGGAACAGGTGCTCGTGTGTGTAGAGAGAGAGGCAGCTGGAACAGGTGCCCCGTGTGTGTAGAGAGAGGCAGCTGGAACAGGTGCGTGGGAGAGAGAGGCAGCTGGAACAGGTGCCGTGGGGAGGAGGCGGAAAGGGGTGTGTAGAGAGAGGCAGCTGAACAGGTGCCCCGTGTGTGTAGAGAGAGGCAGCTGGACAGGTGCCGTGTGTGAGAGAGGCAGCTGGAACAGGTGCCGTGTGTGAGAGAGAGGCAGCTGGAACAGGTGCCCCGTGTGTGTAGAGAGGCAGGGAACAGGTGCCGTGTGGTAGAGAGAGGCAGCTGGAACAGTGCCGTGTGTGTAGAGAGAGGCAGCTGGAACAGGTGCTCGTGTGTGTAGGAGAGAGGCAGCTGGAACAGTGCCCGTGTGTGTAGAGAGAGGCAGCTGGAACAGGTGCTCGTGTGTGTAGAGAGAGGCAGCTGGAACAGGTGCCGGTGGTGAGGGGGTGGCAGGGGGGGGGAGGGAGCTGGACAGGTGTGGTGTGAGAGAGAGGCAGCTGGAACAGGTGCTCGTGTGTGCAGAGAGAGGCAGCTGGAACAGGTGCTCGTGTGTGTAGAGAGAGGCAGCTGGAACAGGTGCTCGTGTGTGTGCAGAGGCAGCTGGAAACCAAGTTACATGAAAGGTACCACCAGTTGGTTGCCCCTGGGCACCTGGCTAGGGGAGGTGGCTGCAGGGAGGACAAAAATTAGCCAGGCATGGTGGCGGGTGCCTGTAATCCAAACTACTCTTGGGAGGCTGAAGCAGGAGAATTGCTTGAACCTGGGAGGCAGAGGTTGCAGTGAGCCGAGATGGCGCCACCGCACTCCAGCCTGGCAACAGAGCGAGACTCTGTCTCAAAAAAAAGAAAAGAGGGAGTCACCAAGTGCCAGGATTCAGCACGGCTGGGGCACCAGCAAATCTGAAGGCCAGAAAATGACACAGAACTGACTTCTAACCCAGAACCTATACCCAGCCAAACCAGCAAGCACGGCTGAGGGCAGAACGAAGACACGGAGAGACACGCGAGTCTCCAAGTATTGACCCTACACACCCTGCCTCACGAAGCCCCGGGGAAAGCAGTCCCCAAAGCTGGGGGCGGAAGTGAGAAGAGGAGGATGCTGTGGGCTGGGAGCGGAAGTCCTCACTCGCCAGGAGGGAAGGGGTGGTGGTGACGGGGAAGGAGGCGCCGTGGGGAGACCAGCCCAGCCCACCAGGAATTGGCACCAGAAGACCAAGAAAACCAAGACTTTCCTGACTCTGGAAAACAAACAAAGAGGAAAAATCTGGGCTCAGTTCTCATCGGCGACTCCATGGTCTCAACAGTGCAGATGCTGTAGGGCCTGAGCCGGGCCACGCCCGAGGAGGGGCCTCCTCTGCGGGAGTCAAGTCACAGCAGTAAAAAGGAGTCCAGAGGTGGCGGTGCTGGCAGCCCTCAGGATGCAGAGACTGCACAGAAGCAGCAGCTGGTGAGTCTGGGGAAGGGGCACGGCTGTGGTTCTTCTCAAACTGCTAAAACCATTTGGGTCTTTAAGCCACGGGTGTGTAACTTTGGCTTTAAAAAAAAACGTCAAAACACTCACCCTCTGCCCAGAGTCCGCGTGTGTTTCTAGGGAACCCAGGCTAAGATACATCTGAAGGCCATGCCCGTCTCGTGGGCCTGGTGGCCCTGCAGGCTGCACTGAAGGGCATCTTGCAGGAGGGCTGGGGCCACCCCTCCTCAGCATGGCCCGTCAGTCAGCTTGGCACCTGCAGGCAGCAAAACAGGGTCCCTCTCAGGAGCTGTCGCGTGGACGGATGGCTCTAAGAAGGGAAGAGGGGGCTTCACAGCACAGCCGGCCGAGTGCGGGAGGCCCAGCGAGGTCCCTCTGCTGGATGGAAGGGGCTGGGGCAGGCATGGCCATTTCGGCACCTGTCATCCCCACAATCGGCTCTGACCTTGGTCGGCACCCTTGGCGCAGGGGCTGGCACCAGCCAGACGAGCCTTGGTTGGGTCTTGGGGCCCCACCAGGATGCCTGTGTTCCTTCCCTTGCCCCACAGAGGTGCCCAGTGTCCTGTGAAGGCAGGATGGCCAGGAGAGAGTTTTAGTCCATGAGACAAAGGCCCCAGGGCTTCTGAGAAGGTCCCTCCTCTGGACGAGGGGACAGCTGCAGGAACAGCCCAGGTGTCCCCATCTGACCTCAAATGTGCCATCAGGCCTGGGGGCTCAGCGTCCACCTCGTGCCCACAGTGGGAGGCTGTGGGAGGCTGCTAGGCCGTGGGCCAGGACCGTGGCACTGCCAGTCCCCACGTGGCCTCCACAGTGCCTGCTGGGGAGCTCTGGCTCCACAGGGGAAACCGTGGTGGCTGGGGCTGCTGTCCCTCTGATTTTCTGCTTCTTGAGGCCAATGAGTCCCAACTAAATCACAAGGTCTCTTTAACCCTTTGCCACTGGCCCAGATGTAAGCACCCAACGGCTGAGACACAGAAGGTTCTGGGGATGCCCAGGGACGCATGGAGCCCCAGCCGGGCCCTGGAAGCAGTGGGCCCTTGCTGCTGCCCCTAACATGCTTCAGACAGGGTGACAACTAGGCTAGTGCCCAGCGGTGGTGCCTGTGACCACGTGGAGGGCCCAGGTGACTGGGCTGATGCTCAACCTTGGGGGATGGGGCCACTCGGGCCCAGCTCTCTTCTCCCTCCCTAAGCAGGACTTCTCAGTCTGGGGGTTCTCCAGCCACTCGCCTCTCCCCATCCTTCCCTGTGAGCTCCTGGTGGTCCTCCCGGGACCTGGGGCTCTTCCCCTCAATTCTTCCCCGCAAGCTCCTGGTGGTCCTCCCCGAGATCCCTGGCTCTTCTCTAAGGAGCTCCTTCAACAGGTTTCCTCTCCCGGCTGGAGCCTAAGACCCCATTCACCCCTGCAGGGACTCCGGCCTGCCCCACCGCCCCTCTCCTGATCCCCAGATACCCCCAGGAGGGGCTGCTGCTGCTCCCGCACCTGCCCAGCAGAGCTGCCCACCTCCGTGTCACCTTCTACTCGCCCAGGCGGCAAATGTGCCTATGTGTCTTTGAGCGAGGGCACGTGGAGTCAGAGCATCTGGAGAGATCATTTTGGTTGTCAGAGCGGTTACTTGAGACAGACCTTTGACATCTCCTGGAGCAGCGGCAGAGACCCCTGGCCTTGCAAACCCCCTGTGTGATCTTGAGGCACAAGCAGGCTGTAGGCACGGAGGCAGGTCAGGGGGCAGGAGCGGCCGGCATCAAAGCTGGCAACCTCTCCTCTCATCCTGACCTGGAGGAGACTGCTGAGGAGCTGTAGGCCGGCCTCGGCCATCCTGGCCATCCTCGGCTGTGTCCAGCCATCCCCGGCCATCCCCTGTGCCCGCCAGCTTATGCCAGAACCTGTGTGGCAGGAGGGGCTGGCCAGGGAAAGGGTTAAGTTTAATTTCTCCTGATTTCTATTTAATATCATGCTCTCCCGGCAGGGGCGGCAGCTGTGAGCTGATTGCAGGCTCTCATTATGCAGGCGGCATCGCTAATGGCCTGTGACAAAGGCATGCGGCTTCCAGGCCTTACCCCCGAGAGCCAATTAAACACACATACTCCCTTCCTGTTTGCAGCACGTTACAATGAAATTAAACTGAATTTCAAAATCATTTTCTCCTAAAGACATCTCTTTACAATAATTAATGCATGCAATTCCGCCCCGGCTGAAATACGCATCGGCACTGGTGACTACGAGTGTTTCCGCACTCACAGCCCCACATCTCACACGGCTGCCCTCCCACGGCTCAGGGAGCCCCGCGACTCGCAAAATCCACAGGGCTGTGGTTCCTGTGCTTTCAAAGAAAAAAACACCTTCAGCTTTTTATCTGAATTTAAAAATAAAAGAACTGACCAGGAGCGGTAGCTCACACCTGTAATCCCAGCACTTTGGGAGGCTGAGGCGGGTGGATCACCTGAGGTCAGGAGTTTGAGACCAGCCTGGCCAACATGGTGAAACCCATCTGTACTAAAAATACAAAAATTAGCTGGCTTGGTGGCGGGTGCCTGTAATCCCAGCTACTTGGGAGGCTGAGGCAGGAGAATCACTTAAACCCGGGAGGCGGAGGTTGCAGTGAGCCGAGATCGCACCACTGCGCTCCTGCCTGGGCGACAGAGCAAGACTCCATCTCAAAAATAAATAAATAAATACGTACACAAATAAGGAACTAAAAGAACCGCAGCATGAGTCAGGTTGGGGTCGGGGCATTCAGAGGGCGCTGGAGGGAGGCTCCAAGCAGGACCCGCTCTAGTCAGGTTCCTGTAATTCTGCACTTGAAGGGAAGTCATGGACAGGCTTGTTCCCCCAGCTCAGTGTGCACTAATGGGGATGTATAAAAAAGATAAACTGGGAGTGTTTGATGTGTTGACCATGTCCTGTCGCAGAGAGGCTTCTAGGGCCCCAGCCCTGGGTCCTCTGCTGATGTCCGGCCCATGGAGGTGCCTCCCAGGATGCCTTGGGAAGCCTGTGAGACGCTGCGTGGGGCACTGGCCTCTGCTCTAGGAGCTCATGGAACCTTCGCTTTGCAAACGTGCGGAATGACCACACACCTAGCACACCCGCCTCACAGCAGCACATGCTCCAGGGCCTCTGGGACCCACAGGATCAGGCCATGAGGCGGCGAGGCTGCGGGCCAACATGGCCCCTTCCAGCACCCCTCAAGGAGCCCGTCCCGCCTGCACGCTGCATCCCCCAGCTCTGCTCCCCGTGGAAAGGCACGGGGCAGACGTGTTTCTGATTTCGGGTCAACAGATTCTGATGCGTGATAATGGGCCTCTCTTTTTGGAAAATATTACTTAAAGGTTATTATAAAATAATGATGTTCAGCATAAAATATAGACAGGCCAAAAAAAAAAAAAAGAAAAGAAAAACCACCACAATCTCACTGCCTAGGGGTCAGGAGCAGCGCGCACATCTTCAGGATAAACACACCACAGTGAGTACCTGCAGCCACACCCACCGGGGGTCCCACTCTCCAAACGCCCACCCACGCGGTCCGCTCTCCGAACGTCCACCCACGCGCGTCCACTATCCAAATATCCATCCACATACGTCCACCATCCAAATGTCCATCTGAGAGGACCAGCTGGATTTCCTGGGCCAACTAAGAATGCCTAAGCCAAGCTGGGAAGGTGACCGCGTCCGCCTTTAAGCATGGGGCTTGCTCACACCGACCAGTCAGGTAGTAAAGAGAGCTCACTAAAATGCTAATTAGGCTAAAACAGGAGGTAAAGAAATAGCCAATCATCTATCGCCTGAGAGCACAGTGGGAGGGACAATGGTCGGGATATAAACCCAGGCATCGGAGCCCGGAACGGCTACCCTCTTTGGGTCCCCTCCCTTGGTATGGGAGCTCTGTTTTCACTCCATTAAATCTTGCAACTGCGCTCTCTTCTGGTCCGTGTTTATTATGGCTCGAGCTGAGCTTTCGCTCGCCATCCACCACTGCTGCCGGCCGCCGTCACAGACCCGCCACTGACTTCTATCCCTCCGGATCCGGCAGGGTGTCCGCTGTGCTCCTGATCCAGCGAGGCGCCCATTGCCGCTCCTGAGCGGGCTAAAGGCTCGCCACCGTTCCTGCACGGCTAAGTGCCCAGGTTCGTCCTAATCGAGCTGAACACTAGTCACTGGGTTCCACGGTTCTCTTCCATGACCCACAGCTTCTAATAGAGCTATGACACTCACCGCATGGCCCAAGATTCCATTCCTTGGAATCCGTGAGGCCAAGAACCCCAGGTCAGAGAACACGAGGCTTGCCACCATCTTGGAAGCGGCCCGCCACCATCTTGGGAGCTCTGGGAGCAAGGACCCCTTAGTAACACATCCACATACGTCCACTATCCAAATGTCCATCCACATATGTCCACTATCCAGATGTCCATCAACATATGCCCACTATCCAAATGTCCAAATATCCACCGTCCAAATATGCCCCATGGGGCGGGATGCGGGATCCTGGGACCAAGCCAGCTTCTCACAAAGGAGGGGCCTGGCAGCAGTGGCTCAGGGCAGGCTCAGGGAGAGCAGGAGGGTGGCAGTGGTAGCTGCCAGTAGGCTCCAGGGGTGCTGCCGTCTCTCCTGACCGCCACAGGCTTCCTGGGCCACCTCAGTCAGGCAGGCAGGTTCCCGCTCACCCACAGGCCTGTTCTGGCAGGCAGAGAGAATGTGCTGATTTGTGGAACAGTAAACGAACAGCCACACTGCAAACCAACCACACTGTGGCCACTGACTTCTGACCCCGGGGGGGAGAAGGATGTGGAGGGCACAAGTGTGGCTGAGCATGGGCGTGGTGAGGTCTCTGGGTGCAGGGTGCAGGGTGCAGGGGTGCACCTCAGAGGTGGAGGGTGCCCCAGCCCACGAGGGGCAGCAGGGGCCACCAGGACAGGCTGCGTGGGGCCCAGTGTCTGTGGTCAGGGTACGTGCGTGCCAGAGCGGCTGTCGTGCTGAGGACAGCGTGGAAGCCTTGTCACGGGGCACCGGGGCCCCTGGCACTCAGGGACAGGGCCAAGGAGCCTGCTCTAGAGGCCGGTGGGGAAGCTGGGTGCTCAGGAGGCAGCACCGTAACAGCAGCCCCCAGCCCCACCCCATCTTCCGCCTTTGGCTAAAAATTCTGGGAATTCCCAGCCTCGGTGTCACTCAACCTGGGCAGCGAGTTGAGTTCTTGCCTGTTCCCCTCGGGGTCTTCTCCACTCCCACGGGGCTGGGTCCTACCTGTCTTAAACCAGCCATCCAGGGTGAATGCACTTTTAGTTTCTTCTGGTTTATTCCAGTACTCTCGAAACACAGACGGTCCCCTCACCAGCAGCTCCCCCTCCTTCTCTTCAAGCCCTGGGGTCACCTGTGGAGGATGAAGAAGATGGAGGTCAGAGCCGGGCACACCCTCTTGGGATTGGCCCTTTCACTTTGTGGGCCGCTTCCAGCCCACCCAGGGCCGCGTGCTTTCTGAAACTGAGCACTTTGTTGGAATGTTTGGAAAAGGCAGGTTTCGGCAGGTGGAAGCCAACCATGCTGAGCTAAGCGTTCCCACTGTCCTCTGCGGGCCCTGGTGCCCCGGCCGGGAGCTGGGTGTCCCCGCTGTCCTCTGTGGGCCCTGGTGCCCTGGCCGGGAGCTGGGTGTCCTCGCTGTCCTTTGTGGGCCCTGGTGCCCTGGCCAGGAGCTGGGTGTCCTTTCATTCCTCCCAGAACAGCCACAGAAGCAGGTGCTCCTACCCCATCCTCTAGACTCAAGCATAACCGGTCCAGGCCTCAGCACTCAGGGCCTGAGCTGGATCCAGGCAGCCTGTCCACGTCTAAAACCTGTGCCCAAATCCCACCTTCGGGGTGTTTCTCAAACCAGGGAACACAGCAGCGGGCATCTGTCCACACCTCGCCTGCAGGGGCTGTGGCAGCTCGGAGCCGGCCGTGCCCTCCGCAGGGCTGAGTGACCAATCACAAGAGGGAAGACTCCGTGGGAAGGGAAGGTGGGGCCCGAGGGTGGGGGCTTCCTGGAGGCCCGTTACGCACGCGGGCACTGCCGTGGCCCCAGGAAGCACAGCCTCACCGTTCTTCTACTGTGACCGTGGAGAGGGCGGGAGGGAGGCTGGGTTATGTGAGCCTGGGCTGGGGGTCCCAGCAGCACCAGGAGCAGATGGCGTGAGCACGTGGGAGGCCCCGGACATGGCGGGTCTGTGAAGACACCGGCCGAGCCCTCGGCTCATAGGTCAGGAGGGTCTGGGGAGGGCAGAGAAGGAGCAGGGGCTTCAGGTGAGCAGCTGCCAGCTCCACGACCCTCACCCTTCTCAACTGTGAAAGTGGGCAGTGCCCTCTGCAGGGCTGTGAAAGCGTCTGGCTGTGACCCAGGAGGTCAAGGGATGTGTACAGAGTCTCACCGAGGCTCATCACCTGCCATCTGGAATGGACTTCAAAAAACCAGGGGCCAGGGAAGTAGACAGCGAAAGAGGAGAACCTATTTATCTGACGTGGAGAAAGGACGCTGACACGTCCTGGGGCCAACACTGCCCCACGGCAGACTCCGCCCAGTGCGTCGTCCTGCTGCCAACCTGCCAGCCTGGGCTCCTCCAGGAGGGGCTGACGCCACCCACAGGGGTGGAACATCTGCCCCCCATGGTGACAGGGCTGTCCGCACAGTGCCCGGCCTAACTCCTGCTGCTCAGAGCCTTGCGTTTGTTTTTTCAAATGAAACCACGGACTGTGTCTGATTCGGTGAATGTTTTCACTGCTGTCCTTTATCTGCTCCACTGCCATGGTCAGACTGGCCACTGGTCAGTATGCTTGTGGGACATGTACAGACAGCAAGGCAAAGGCCCTAAAAATAAAATGACATTGAGACCAATCCCAGGGAAAGAAGGTCAGACTTTGCAGAGTTAAGCCAACTAGGTTACAGTAAAACAAACACTTCAACATCTTTATAGAATGTCAACAAGACCAAGAATCTCATCCCTAACATTAAAAATGTCCAGGGTTAGGCTGGGCGCTGTGGCTCAAGCCTGTAATCCCAGCACTTTGGGAGGCCGAGGCGGGTGGATCACGAGGTCAGGAGATCGAGACCATCCTGGCTAACATGGTGAAACCCCGTCTCCACTAAAAATACAAAAAACTAGCCGGGCATGGTGGCGGGCGCCTGTAGTCCCAGCTACTCGGAGGCTGAGGCAGGAGAATGGCGTGAACCTGGGAGGCGGAGCTTGCAGTGAGCCGAGATCGCGCCACTGCACTCCAACCTGGGTGACACAGCGCGAGACTCCATCTCAAAAAAAAAAAAAAAAAAAAGTCCAGGGTACAATACAAAGTTACTCAACACAGGAAAAAACGAGAAAAATAGCAACTCATATAGAAAAAGAATACGACAGCACTGAGACGACATAGTTATTGGAATTATCTGAAAAAGACTTTAAAGCACTATTATAAAAATGCTCCAAAACGTAAGGGCACACTTTGGAAGGCTGAGGCGGGCAGACTGCTCGAGCTTGGAAGGCTGAGGCGGGCAGACTGCTTGAGCTTAGGTGTTTGAGAACAGCCTGGGCAACATGGCAAAACCCTGTCTCTACAAAAAAGACAAAAATTAGCAAGGTGTGGTGGTGCGTGCCTGTAGTCCCAGCTACTTGGGAGGCGGAGGTGGGAGGATCACTTGAAGTGGAGGTTGCAGTGAGCTGAGACTGCAGCACTGCACTCCAGCCTGGCTGACAGAGTGAGACCCTGTCTCAAAAATAAATGAATAAATAATAAAAAATTAAAAAAAGAACAAATAAAAAAGAAAGGGCAAACACTTGGAAATAAATGGAAAAATAGAAAGTCTCAACAAAGAAATAACAGATACAAAGCAGAATCAAATGAAAATTTTAAAAATGAAAAATACAGAAATAAAAAATGTCACGGATTGGCTCAAGAGCAGAAGGACGATGAAGAAATGAATCTGACAACTTGAAGAAAGAGCAACAGAAATGACCCAAAATCTGAACAGAAAGAAAAATAGCCAGGAAAAGTAAACACAAAACACACAAAGGGCTAACAACGTTCATGTTACTGCAGTGACAGAAGAAAAGACTTAGGTGCAGAAAGACGTTTGATAAAATTTGGCTAAAAACTCAAAATTTGGTGAAAACATAAGCCTATAAATTAAAGAAGCTGAGAGAATCACAGACAAGACAAACCAAAAGATGTCCAAGCCCAGACATATCATAATCCAATCACTGACACACAGAGAGGAACCAGGGTTCCCACGACCACTGATTTCTCCACGGAAACAATGGAGGCCAGAAAGAAGTGGAGTTGTATTATTATTATTATTATTATTATTTTTATTTTTAAGACAGAGTCACACTCTGTCATCCAGGCTGGAGTGCAATGGCATGACCTCGGCTCACTGCAAGCTCCACCTCCCAGGTTAAAACAATTCTCCTGCCTCAGCCTCCCAAGTAGCTGGGATTACAGTTGTGCACCACCACGCCTGGCTAATTTTTGTATTAGTAGAGATGGGATTTCCCTATATGGGCCAGGCTGGTCTCAAATTCTATTTGTTTTTTTTTTTTGAGACAGAGTCTTGCTCTGTCGCCCAGGCTGGAGTGCAGTGGTGCAATCTTGGCTCACTGCAAGCTCCGCCTCCCAGGTTCATGCCATTCTCCTGCCTCAGCCTCCCCAGTAGCTGGGACTACAGGTGCCCACCACCAGGTCTGGCTAATTTTTTGTATTTTTTTTTCAGTAGAGACAGGGTTTCACCGTGGTCTCGATCTCCTGACCTCATGATCCGCCCGCCTTGGCCTCCCAAAGTGCGGAGATTACAGGCATGAGCCACCGTGCCCAGCTCAAATTCTTGACCTCAGATGATCCACCCCTCTTGGCCTCCCAAAGTGCTGGGATTCCAGGCATGAGCCACCACATCCAGGCAAGAATCATATTTTTAAAGTGCTAAAAGAAAATAATTGTCAACCCAGAATTCCTAATCCAATGAAAATATCCTTCAGGAAGGAAAATAAAATAAAGACATTCTTAGATGAAGAAAAATAAGATAATTTGTTGCAATCAGATCTGATCTAAAATAATTCCTGTAGAATGTCCTTCAGACAGAAAGAAACTGGTATCAGAAGGAGACTTGGTACACTGGGAATACAGGAAAAGGAACAGAAGCGGCCAACAGTTGGATGAATGAAGTTGAGTTCCTTTCTGTTGAAAGGAACAATTTTGACTGTTGAAAGCAAAAATTACCATTTTGTCTAATGGAGTTGACAACAAATACAGGTATTACGCTAACCACGCCCTAACGGCAGAGGGTAAGGAACCGACATGGAGGCAGGGATGTGGCTCTACATTCTTCTGGAAGTGTTGAAATGTTGACTCTAAGGAGACTGTAAAAACGAAGTATGTACATTGTAGTCTCTGGAACTATTACTGAAAAAACTATGCAAAGACATTTACACTAAAAAACTTGAGACAAATTAAAATGGAATACGAAAAAATAACCTCAAAGAAGGCAGTAAAGTTAAGCAATAAAACCCTCAGGGAACAAGAGTAAACAAATATTAAAATGGTAGACTTAAATTCAAGCATATCAATAATTACATTAAATGTAAATGGTTTAAACATACCAATTACAAAGCTTGTCAGGCTGGAGTAAACACACATAATCCAACTGCATGCTGTCCATAAGAAACTTCCCTCAAATACAATTATACATGCAAACGCCAATCAAAAGAAATTAAAATAGCTATATTAATATCAAAGTAAACTTAAGAGCAAAGAGTATTACCAGAGCATTAAATGTTAATAAGAGTCAATTCACCAATAAGACACAATCATTATAAATGTGAATGTACTAAACAACAGACTTTGAAAATATATGAAGCAAAAACTGAAAGTGGAAACAGGCAGTTATAGATGGAAAATTCAACCCCTTCTTTAGTAACAGAACAAGTGGTGAGAAAACCAGCAAGGATATAGAAGAACTGAACACCAAGATCAAACATCTTCACCTAATTTACAGAACAGACATTTACTAAAACAAGCAGGACACACACTCTCGCTCGGTCACCCAGGCTGGAGTGCAGTGGCACAATCCAGAGCTCACTGCAGCCTCAAACTCCCAGGTTCAGGTGATCCTCCCACCTCGGCCTCCTGAGTAGCTGGGACAAAAGGCATGTAACACCATGCCCAGCTAATTTTTTTTTTTTTTTAACTTTTTGTAGAGATGGGGTCTCACTATGTTGCTCAGGCTGGGCTCAAACTCCTGGGCAGTGATTCTCCTGCCTTGGCCTCCCAAAGTGTTGGGGTTACAGGTATGAGCCATGGCGCCTGGGCAGAATATATACTCTTTTCAAGTACACCAGAACATTCTTGAAAAGAAACCAC